GTGTACTTCTTTCTATGGTGGCTTATGTGTGATGGAGCCAGAATTCTTTTACAAAGTTTCGATCAATCTGTTTTAGAAACTACATTTGTCATTTAACATTGTATTTAGTCATTAAATACTGATAATATTCCATCATAAGGATATATCATAATTTATTTAAACATATAATTCTAAAGCATTTGGTTTGTTTTTAATTTTTCATTATTGCAAATAACTTTGAGATAATTTTCTTACACATCAGTCTGTGTTCTGTTACTATTTCCTTAAAACAGGAGTCAGATGTTTTTAATTCTACAAAAGAAAATGAAAGAATGGGGCCCATAAAAATTACTAATCCATGTTCAATCAATGAAGTAACTGAAAAGAAAACATTAATTTCTAAGTGGATTCTTAAACTACTAACCTACATCAATAACAATCCAAAAGTCACTGACTACCTCATTATGGAGGCAGTATTTCAATAAAATAAAACTTTGAAATACTGTAAAGAGAGATACTAGAAAATATTAACTATAGAAGGGGGGAATTAGAGGTTTAGGTTAAAAAAGGAAATTATCAGACAAAATCTGAGTAAAAATTTGAAACAATTTTCACTACTTTGTTAAAAGTACAATGAAATGTTTCATGACAATAGGCATTTCAATTTTGATAGTACAGAATCCTAATGTCATGCCAAGGTTTTGATTCATAAAAGAAATCTAACTAAAAATAACTAAAACAGTTAACAGTTCTAAAAGTAACAGTACTTGGCACCATTCTGTTTTAATCATTGGAGTGGCTACTATTTTGATATATCTCCTGAACAAAAATATTGCTATCTTTAACTAATTTAATGTGATTAATCCTTGCCTCCTTGTACTTTTTTATTCCCCTCTTCCCCAAGTGTATCCTTGTTAACAGGTATAGTCTACCTAGACAATTTACATGAAGACATTGTTAGAATTAACACCCACCTTATAGAGTAATTACGTTGAATTAGCCTTTTACTACATGCAATTATAATGTTCGGAGTACATGATCTGACTGAACAAATACACAAATCCGTGTAACAATGAACTGTTTTAGAAGGTGGCTCTACTTAAATGTATGGAATAAGATTTGAGATATATCCCTTAATAAGCTATATGCTTATTATGTTAATACCATATTAAGCTATAAGCTTAATTATATAAGAATATAAGCTTAACATATTCTTATGTTATTGAGCACTTGGTTAACATTACCAGAGGCTGAGACAGAAAATAAGGATTAAAGGTTCCTAGTGACACAGATAAGAAAAAATGAATCCTACCACTTAGGAAACAAATTACAAGCAAACAAAGCCTTATTAATCAGCAACCTGAATATTTAAAGATTAGTAGCAACGACTACTGAGCCACAAAAAAGGACTGGATGCATTTCAGGACAGTTTCCAGAGGTGGGGCTAGGACCAAAACCAGGCTCTCAAAGAGTGAGACACAGTTAACACCTGGCATCCTGATTCTTTGACAGCCTTGCCTTTTCTAATTCCAAATGTTACCAAACCCTTTCTCAGTTCTTAGCAAAATCATCTTGAATAATTGTAACATTTAAGGATTATTAAGTGACATGAAACTGTATCATGTTTTACCTGCTGGGAAATCTCCACTCTATTAGATGTGCTCCCCATTCCCATCTAAATTGGGAGCTTGTACATGAAAAACAGCCAAAATGCATTGCACATAAGTAATCAAAGACAATGAAGGGGGAAAAAAGCAAAAAACAACACTAATTTTTAAACTCAGGCTATGAGGTCTGAAAGAATGATGTTTCTATGGCACTGCAAAGAAGCATTTTAAAATAAATCAGAGGGAAAACCAAAAGATTAGCCACCCAAGATACAGTGAGCTATCTATATAGCTTATTTCTCCCCTTGTTACAACTGGTAAAATATTTTTTAAATGCTACCTGAGTAAGTGGAACAGTAAACAATAACAGGTAGACTGGGGACTGAAGTCAAAATTTATATAACAATCTTGTATTAATGAGTTTCAAGTTTGTTTTATTTTGTTTTTGGGCTCCAGCTTTAATCCAAGGCCTAATTCCAGAACTGCACAGCGGGTACAGAGAACAAAAACTCCAGAAGAAACTATGTCTCTCTAGAAGACTAGGGTAAGGAACCCCTGAATGCCAGAAGGCATGGGGGGAAAATCCTGGGTTTTCTTTATTAGTTTTCTCTCTTTGGCCTCAGAGCTATACTGCTACCAAGTGTGGCAGCTTGGGCACTTAAAACCCAAGAGAAAACCTACCTCTCTAGCTAAAGGAACCATACACATACACTGAAGAATATAGACAGAATCTCTTATTTTCTTCTCTCCCTTAATATTTTGCTCTGAAGGTGGCTCCAGTTGCAGGGACCTGCTCTATAGTGAGAAGGCTAACACGCAGAGAAATCTGCCTTTCTGGTCATAGGAACCAGCATGTGGGTAGAAGGAAGAAAGGATACATGAGAATCCTGGGGAAAAGAAAGTAGCAAAGAGGAATCATCTAAGTCTGTATATGATCCAACATTAAGGCCCAGAATCAACTCTGAGCTGCCCACAAGCACAGGAGATTCAAAGAAGTATAATAAAGGCTTAGAGAACTGAACAATAATAATAAGTACTGCCCATGTTCCAGAATAACTCGTGAGTGGTACATGAGTCGAACAGACTCAATCAGCACAGTATGGGCTCTGAAAATTGGACTGATGTGACTACGACCCACGGAAGGCAGAAGAGAATGTGTAGTTAGAACCTAATCAGACTGACTGCCTGTCGAAACAAACAAAAACCAAAATCCTCTAGAGGATTTTAATAGGACCAAGAGTCAAGAACAGAATATTCAAAATATACAGGATATAATCCAGAATTAACATACAAAGAACAGGAAAATCTGACTAATTCTTGAGAGAAAATACAATTAACAGATGCCTCATACCCCCTCAACTGTTGGAATTACAAAGACTTTAAAGCAGCTACTATAATCATTATTGATAATCTGAACACGCATCAAATGGATGAAAACCCTGATGTTTTCAGCAGAGAAATAAAAACTATGGAAGAGAGTCAGATAGAAATGCAAAATTCACTGGATAGGCTCAACAACAGAATGGAGATGACTAAGGACAGAGTAAGTAAACTTGAAGATAGAGCAACAGAAATTAAACAGTCGGAGGAATTGAGAGAATTAATAAAGCTTCAGGCATCTCGGAGGCAATATCAAAAAGTCTAACATTTATGTCATTTAAATACCAGAAGAGGAGATGAAATTGGTACATAAAAAAAAAAAAAATGAAATAATGACAGAAAACTACCCAAGTTTGGTGAAAGACATAAATGTACAGATTCAAGATCAGTGAACCCTAAACAGGAAAAACACAAAATCATGACCAGATATATCATCTAATCACACTGCTAAGAACCACAGACAAGGGGAAAAAAAAGAAAGCAGACATACAAAAAGATGATCTACTACATATACAGAAACAGTGATTTAAATTGGAGGAGGCCTTGACTACAAAGCAGCAGCACAGGGGAGCTTTTTTGGAGTGACGGAACTGTTCTGGATCTTGATTGTGGTGGTCGTTATAAGGTTCCACGTATTAGTTAAAATGTGCCCTGGGCACCACCTAGAGCAAATATCACTGTGTATGCATACATAAATAAGCCAGAAACCTGGGTATCTTCTTCCGTATCTAATTAACCACCATCTCCTGCCCAATGTACTTTCTAAAGATTTCTCAAGTTTGCCCTTTTCCCTCCATTCACACTGTTTCTTCTTAGCTGAGCTCTCATCACCCCAGTCTGTTACTACTTTGATCCCAAAACTAACCTCTGTAGACTTGCTTGGCAAAAGGTGATCTCTTCTCTAATAGAACCTACTTTAACCTGGAAGCTTGTTAGAAATGCAGAATCTCAGACCCCACCAGAGAACTCCTGAATTGGAACCCACATCTTAACAGGATTCTGTAGTGATTTATAAGGGCATTAAAATTTGAAAAGCCTAGCCTAGGGCATGCTGGAACAAACAAAAACCTGATTATGCTGCTCCTCCATTTAACATCTTACAGGCACCCCCCCTGGACAGAACAAACGCAGAACACAGGAGGCCTTACAAGACCTCACCCTACCTTCCTTTCCAGGCCCATCTTTCATCCCTCCCCACCTCACCATGTACTTAGCACTTCCGTATAACTGAAGCTGCCCATTCCAACACACGTACACAGGATGTCCCCCAGCTACACCTTTACCTATGCAGTTCCCAGAGCCTACAGTACCTCCTGTTCCTCACCTGGCTAATTTCTAAACCATCATCAAGGCTCTACTCAGAAGTCAACCCTGACAAACTCTGAAGGTCACCTAGGTTGGGATAAAAGATCCTCTGTGCTCCTAAACCAGCCTGGGCACACTTCCATGCCTGGACTTCCCACATTACATTGAAATTACCTGTTTGCGTGTCTTTCCTGGCCTGAAGGTTTCTCATAGGCAGGAGCCTCATCTCTTCCCTGAATCTAGCACTGAAAACAAGGCATTTTCAACAAGATACTGATGGACTAAACTACCGACTTTTTTTATTCCTATAAAATTATCCGTTGCTAATTTGGTAGTAACTAGTCCTCCTAACACATTATTTTCCTGACAGAAATTATGTTAACCATCTCCTAGACCTGAGTTACAAGCTGTCTGAAGCAACATACATTGAGTTGTTTAGATCTAAGACGTTTTGGCCCGTACAAAAGGATGTACGTCCCCAGGCTAAGAGTAAAGGCTTAGTTTTTTGTTTTTTTGAAAATGCCATAAAGCCAGCTACTATAAAGTCCTAATTTGTCCTAATTTGGGGGTTTTTGGCCTTGTTTATTTACAAGTTCTTAGTTCGGGACTGGCTGCCTCACAAGACCTACGTTAGACTGGTAACAATTCTTATGCATATCGAAGAGGGCCACTCGCGCCTGTGTCCATGCCTAACAGCAGTCACTTTCTCCTAGCGCTAGTGGTGGTCACCTTCTCCATGGCAGTTCCTCTTCCTCCAAGTCACTCTCCGTCACCGACCCCTCTATCACGGTCTCATCGCTGTCCCAGTCTGGAGCCTGGGCGCCTTCCTCCATCTTTACCTCACACTTGGAGTATTTTTATCCTCCCTAATTCTCCCCTTCCCCCCCCCCAAAAAAAAACAAACAAAAAGCTCGGAGAGGTGGGGTAACTCCTCAGTTAAAAATAAAATTCGCGGCGGGGGCCGGACCTTGCACCGGGAGCTAAAAGAGTAGAAGACCACCAAAGTCGTCGTGGGGTAGGCGGCCCCGTTCGGCAGTCTCGCCGCACGCCGCCGCCAGCAGGTGGAGCCGCGCGCCGCACGTTGCAGCCAAGCGCAGCGCACGGCTCCACCCTCACCACTCGCTTCCTTAGCCCGCGGGAGTCGCCGGAAGTCGCCCGCTCCGTGCTCCCGCCCTCTCTGGGTTTCCGGGTTGTGTTGGGCGTGGCCCGCTGTCGCACAGCTTTCGGCTTCTGTCTGTATCCTATTCGTTGGCTGGGCTGTGTGGGGCCTTGAGGACCGCAAAAGCAGAGGTGCCTCTAACAGACCGCACGCAGTCCGAACTTTCCTAACGCCGTTGGCAGGGAGCGAGTCCTGGGTCGCGTCACGTGCAGTGCACCTGAGGCTCGAGACACCCAGACCCGGAAATAACTTGTCAGCTCCTGCCGGACTCAGCATCCCGGCTCTGAATCCTACATTCTGAAGCCAGAATGTTACCTTAGACCCAAAAGTGTTTTTGCAGTCCACGAAAAACGGCCTTTCTCCGTAATCCCTGTGACATCTCCTCCCCGTGTACCCTGAGGTAGGGAAAAGAAGCATTTATCAGAAGTCTCAGGTCATCAACTAATCGAATAGAGGTGTATTGTAGTAGTTGCGTTTTAACGTCAGCTTTTAGATTACTCTGTAATATAGATTGTGTAGGAAAGGCAAGATAAATGCTTCCTTTTTCCCATTTATTTTTAAAATAATAGTGGTGCCTAGACAATTATGATTTTTAAATGAATCTCTGGGTTTTTACATATTTGCTATATTTCAATCTGTTTGGAAGTTTTTAATTGAAACATTCAAAGCAAAGCCAAGTAAGCTCCACCCCCCAAAAAAGAGGACGATTCAGGAAAAGACAGAACCACTTCTGTATATACCAAGTGTTTAAGATCCACGTTGGAATATCCAGCGTCTAGCTCATATTGAGTCTTTAAAGGTTTGTGAGAAAATGGATGGAACTGGGGCTTCCTGACTCCCTGATTCACTGCTCTTAAATACATGGAGTGGTATTACCATTATTTTATATTTAGATCATTTTCTTTTTCTAAAAAAAAAGTCTACACCTTTGAGAAAATGAAGGAGGTTCTTTTTGGGAAAAGGATTTTAAAATATTTACAGAATATTTGGTAAAACACTTTATATAACTTTATTTGGTGGGATATTTAGATGAAAAATAGTTGTTGGGTTTACTATTGGAGGTTCATGTTGCGTAATATTTGTGGTAATTCAAATCTTCTATAAAAGTCTTCTCTCTCACAATTCTGACCTTGAGAGGCTATAAATGATCTGAAGCTATAGGCAGGAAATTTTAATTATAAAGCAATATGTATTGTGTAACCACAAAACAAACGTTTTTTCCAAAATCCACTCTTTTAAACAAGTCTGATTACATTACACCTTGTACATACTCTACTTCTTAGTGCTCAAGCCTCATTTCATATGACTCTCCCGTTACTCCCCAACTCTAGGCAAACAGACCTCCTTCCTGTTCTTCTGGGATGTCTCAGAGTCTTTGCACTTAATGTTCATGCTTTAGGTCTAAGGTCAAACATCACCTCCTCAGAAAGGCCATCTTTAATCATGTTCTCTATCTCAGCAACCTGTTTTTTCCTTCAGGCACACATCACTCTCTTAATTATTTAATTTATTCATATACTTGTTTATTGTCTGCCTCATCCATTAAAAGGCAGGACCAATAAGGGAAAGGTCCTTAAAATAGGAGGTAGAGGTGGAGAAAAGGTAATGTGCAAGCAGTAGCTCAAATCTTTAATGTATAATTTACATAAATAAAATACATAATAAAAATACAAATTTTAATTATTTTGGACTGATGGGATTGCTAGATTTATACATGGTAATAGGATCATCTTTGTGCACAACTATAACAGCCTTGTAAAAATGTTTAGGCTAACATATTAGCAGGTATATCAATATAGAAAAAGAGACACAAAAATCCTAGCCACAGGGGTTAATCAGAATTTTGATGTAGTAAATGCAGTTCGATAATTTTGAATATATATGAAGTCTGTCCATAAAGTATCCAGCCATGTAGTATGAAAAATAGAAACATTGACTGAAGATACAAGATACAAGAAACATTTCACATAGGACAATGACACCTCAGTCCCCTTCAAAATAGGCACCTTGGGACCTCACATAGTTCTCCCATTCACCATCAGCTGCTCCATCATATTTTCCTGAATTTCATCAACAGTCTGGAATGTCAAGGTGATTCTAATTTTGGGAAAAGCCAGATGTTACACGGCACCAAATCTGGGGTGTAGTGGGGCTGAGTCACCTGGGTGATTTGATGTTTCACCAAAAATCTCTGCCCAAGACGTGATGCATCAGTGGGTGTGTTGTGATGAAGTTGCCAATCACCAGTTCCCCATAATTGCATCACTCTGACATCCAAATAGTTTCCAGCAGAGGCATGTTCAAGCTTAATGCAATATTTGACACAGCTTTGTTGTTGTACTTGCTCAGTCATTTTGAATGTGATGGCTCAGTACATATGCTCACTCAATGGTATCTACTATCCCCACCAACTAGTACAGTGAAGTCATTATTGCTAATGCATGTGCATTCCGGTCTACTCTCCCTAGATGCCAGGTTACATCAATGTTGTGCAAACCGTTCTCATTATGTTAACAATGGTTGGACTTTTCCTGACATATCGTGTGTGTGTGTGTGTGTGTGTGTGTGTGTGTGTAACCGCCCCTTAAGGTAATTTCCATCTTTCCTGCCTTCAATATCTACCTCCAGAAAGCACTTTCTGATTTCTATCATGCAGAATAGTTTTTTGATCACCATAGGAATCACACTGTAAGCATCTTTTTAAACTGCCTTCTTTGAAACTAGGTTTAAAACTACGTTTAAGTTTTTCAGATTAACCCATGTTGTTGTACCAATTCATTCCTCTTTATTGCTAAGTACCATTTCATTTCATATGAACATACCAGCTTTGCTTAGTCCATTTTACTGTTGATGGACATTTGAGTTCTGTCCAGTTTGGAGGCTATTATATATTAAGGCTGCCATAAACACTCTAGATGAAGTGTTTTTGTGGATGTGTGTTTTCATTTCTTTTAGGTAAATAATTAGAGTGAAACTGCTGGGTCATATGGCGGGTACATGTATTACTTTATAAGAAACTGCTTTTCAGTACTCCAAAAGGAGTATCACTCGCACCAGCAATGAACGAAAGCTCCATTTGCTCCATATCTTCACAGACATTTGATATTGTCAATCTTTAATGTGTTAGCCATTCTGGTGGGTATGAAATAGTATCTCATTGTGGTTTTAATTTGCATTCTCCTTCTGGCTAATGATGCTGGACTTCTGTGTGCTTTTTGGCTGTTTGTATACCTTTTTTGAAGTGTCCAAATTTTTTGCTCACTTTTCAACTGGGCTGTTTGTATTTTTTTTTTTGTTGATTTATAGGAGTCCTTTATATATTCTGGATATGAGGCCTGTGTCAGATATATGTATCATAAATATTTTTTATTAGTCCCTGGTTTGCCTACTCATTTTTTAGTGCTTTTTTTTTGATCAGCAAAAGGTCTCAATTTGGATGATGCCCAGTTTATCAATTTTTTATAGTTAATATTTGTGTTAGTTTCCTATGGCTGCCATACAAATTATCACACACCGGGTGGCTTAAAATAACAGAAATTTATTATCTCACAATTCTGGCTAGGCCATGCTCTTTCTGAAGGTTCTAGAGGAGAATCTATTCCACACCTTTTTCTTAGCTTCTGGTGTTGCTGACAATTCTTGGTAAAATATAACAGAATAATTAATAAGTGATGTTTTTTCATATCCCATTTATTTTTAACATGATTTGTTCAATAATAACTTCATTTACTTTCATTTTTAGTACTGACTCTTTAATAACTGACTTGCAAATTCTTGAAAACTTAACAACAGGCTCTTGCAAACTAGTAGAAGCTGGCTCCAGCTCACCTTTGACACCACTCTAGTAAGGACTTTCCTGCCTCCCTCCCCACCATCTTCCTGTCAGCCTCATACTGCAGTCCTGAACGGTTAGCCTTTGTCCTTAGCTAAGGGGATAAGGAGAATCAGAAAATAAACAATAATGTGTAGATTAAGTTTTGGAACTCATGGTTCTTTGAGTGTCCTACCTGGGAGGAATGAGTTAGTCCTTCATTTCACAATATGAACATTATATTAGGAAGACTGTGTAAAAAGAGGAAGACTGAAGGGTGGCAGGCAGAAAAGAAAAACAGAAGGTAAAATGAATGTTGAGGGAGAAAGGTAACAAAACAAAATAATGGCCACTCTATTTGGGTTTATATTAATTGTGATTGTATTTACTGTGCATAATTTATCTTAGCCAAGTCTCGCCGAACTGGTTGACTGTTACATAATCATGTAACTGACTTGTAAAGTGACTGAATAGATGTCAATTTTGAACTGCCATAAAGAAATTGTGTTATTTTTTCTTTATTAGGATGCACTGCAACTGAAGAGTCAAATGCTTTATGGCATTTGGTGCCTGTGCCATGATGTTCATTCTTTCTACCTGGAATGTCTTTTCCCCTTTCTCTGTCTGAAAAACTGCCCCATATTCCCTCATCTCATTTAATGCTTTCCTCTACTGAGCCACACCTCCCCTTTCATAATCATGATTTAGACTGTGATATTTTAAACTAAAGGACACACATTCACTTTTCTTCATAATACAGATGATGTGAGAAGAGACCAACCCTTAGCTTATAGTATAAATGTACTTCATCAATATTTAACTCTGGCTGTTGTCATACATGAGGGAACATGCCATGACCGTTTTAAAAA